GCGATGGGTATGGAGTAGTACATTTCCAGCGGTGCTGGATCAAATTTGCTAGCTGTCGAATTAGCCTAGTATATGTACATGGTAAACAAAACGTGAATTCCATTTCGCTTTTTGCCAGCAACAAGCATTTATAAACACTATTTGGCCACAAGCAATTAAAATGCTCACGTGCATATTTTGCGCTGTTTGCATAATTTGTTGAATATATTTAATAAAGGGCAATTACTTTAATTTACCTGATATTTTCGGTTGCAGCATAACTATTCTTCGCCTGTACTCGTATGTGGATGCCGCTGATGCAGCCGCGTCTTGTTGATTGTCAAAATTGACAATGAATGTGTTCGCCGGAGGATGGGTAATGGAGATGGGCAATGGGAATGGGAATGGGAATGGGAATGAGGATGAGGATGGAGCTGCCGCCGGAATGGAGTTGGGGACTGAGGCTGACCCAGCCAGCCGAAGACAAGTGCATGTCTCGCGTCTGCAAAGTGTCTGGAGGCCGACGCAGACACTCGGATCTGGTGGCGATGTCGGAGTTGTCCTTAAGTGATGCAGATGCAGATGCAGATGCAGAGGCTGTTGCATCCAAATATGGACCATGGGCCGATGGTCGGCTCTCCAGCGGCGCAGGCGGAGGCGGCGGTGCAGCAGGTGAGCCGCCAGATAGTGGCTGCAGTTTTACACTTGCAGCGCAGCACTGCAGCAAGTTATTTAAATGATATGCACATGCAGTGCTCCTCCGTCGCGTCGCGTCGCGTTGTCTGGTAGCTGTAAAATGAGAACTGAGACTTCGACTGATTCCCTGTCGTCTGCGATTTTTCCTGGTCATGGGCATGGGCCTCTGCCATTGGCATTGCCTCTGCCTCTGCACTTGCCTCTGCCTCTGCCTCTGCCTTTGCCTTTGCCTGTGCCAGCAATTATGAGCGTCTGGCCGTCTGGCAGTTTACAATATTTTTAATTATCGCGTTTTTTCTAAGCAGAGATAAGCATCTGGGCGGCTGGAGCTGCTCTTTTTCGAATTTCAATTTGAGGCTCCGCTGGCAGGCCGAATTGTCGCCACTGTTTATTGCCTCTGGTCACTAACAGCAATGGCAGGCGGAGCAGTAGCTGGAGGAGCTGGAGGAGCAGGAGCAGCCATCTTGATGACTAAGCGAGGAGCCGGTCTCGGAGCTCGGAGCTTGGAGCTCGGAGCCCCTTGCAGTTGGACTCATAGGCTCCCGGCTGTCTGCCGTCTGCTTTCTGGCCGTCTGACCATCGCAGGCCGTAATTTAATGCAAATTTGGGCAGCTCCATGGCCAAGACCCGGTCTCGGTCTTGGTCTCGGTCTCGGTCTGGAATTGGAATCGGCAATGCTATGCCCATGGCCAGGTAGTAAAAGTGAAAATAACTCCCTGTTCCTGCCGATGGCTGTCAGTGGTCATTTGCTCTATTGATTAAGCACCTGTGCTCCGACTTAGAGAAGCTTCCCATTCATCAGCAAGGTTCAGAAGTAGAATCTCAGCCCTGCTAAAATATTTTATGGGTAAGAAAATCCCTGCGAATATTGTGTGCCTCTGATGAGCTGTTTGAATTAATGTGGTATAACATGCGTGTGCCTTTAGCAAGCAATTCAAATTTAATACTTGGGTGATTTTTTAAAAAGAAATAAAATGATTGCTCAAAAGTGCAGCAGGCAATTGAGTATTTTTTTTTTTTAGCTGTGATATCCAAAGAAGCTACTTTGAGTAACAGTAATTTTTTCATTCTCTACTGCTTTCTTAGGCTTAAAGAAAATGGTAACTTTCTAACATTAGCTAAGGAGGAATAGCTAAGTAGCTAAATCGACAGCACTGTCCCGGCCAATGCGCCTTTCGCTGTTAAAGAACTGCCAAGGCAATCAAATAAATGAAGATGCAACCTGACCATAAATGCCGCAAATACCACTCACACTCCTGCATTCTCCACTGCCAACGTGCAGCTCCTGCCTGCCGTCCATAGTAAATATAGCTATATCGGTTCTGGGTTCAAGCTTATTTATAGGATGCAATGGCTCGAAGATCGAAGAGCACGTGGCGGACAAGGAGTTCCCAGCGTGGAGCAGGATGCATAAATGAATGAAATGGCGTTTTAGGTAATTCGTGTCGACCAAGTTTGTGCTGACAGTTCGCCAACTATGCTAATGAGGCCGTGGATGCCAGGAGCTCCTAAAGCGGATTTCTTGCCGTGGTGCCGTCAGGAATATGACGAAAATGAGGAAGCATTCCGCTCTTTTTACGGTGGCCACACTTCAGTCATTCGAGGAACTCTTGATCTTATTTTTAATCGCGGCTGCTTACGCTATTTATAACAATTATCACAACTTACGAATGCCACGCGCTTTTCATGAACTATTTTGGCTTTGAACCCCATTGTCCAATGCCTTATTGCCTTGGCTCCCGGCACAGTTACCTCAGCTTAAACCCTTTGTTTTTAACCATTATATAAATTATTAATATGTATATTAATTCACCAACATTTCAAAGATGTATCAAACATCATACATATTCTAATGTTCTAACGCTTGTATCTAAACAAGTAGAAAGTGCTCATGAAGAACATAAAAAGAATGATTATATTTAAAAAAATGCAACGATTTGAAATTTATGATGCCGCTGAATGTTTATTATGTGTTTTTTTTTAATTTTCGTTTATTATAAAGCGACGAATCCGTACATGCAGTACTAGTACCATAACATGTCAATTAAACATATAAATAATGTAACCAAACTTCTCACTTATCGCGGGAGGACTAACAATTTACTATGTGTAAACATAATAACTTGTGAAGTTCGATTTTACACTGAGTTTGTCTGTACTTCAGCTGAAAAGTATGCAGCTTTTAAATAATTTCTACTTTCACGCAATCTGCGCTGGCTCAGTTGTCACAAATTCGTAATAACTTTCAAATTGTTTTACTATTGATCATATACACTACAGACCCAGGATGTGCGACGTGGTGCTCCCTTGCGAGTACAATCCGAAGGCATGTCCGCGTCCTGCGGCGGAGAAAAGCCGCCTTTTCACAATCCTGCTCCTCTACTGCTGGCAGCGGGAGTACGACAAGCGACCCTACCGCCAGTTCGAATTCAAAAGACTCGTGTTCGAGGAGCGGATCGGGCGGAAGTACCACTGCATCCGCGACTTCCGGATCATCGTAAACTATCTGCAGCGGCGTCCCCAGTTGGCCGTCAAAATGTCCAGCTTGGTTGTCAGCAACTGGGATGCGCGTTTGCTCAAGGACTTTGTGCGCTCGCTGATCCCCGTCTGGTATATCGATCTGAATCTGATGCGGTTTCCCCACGAGTTCTTCGTGATGCTGCGTCTTAATGCGGCCAAGATGAATGTTAGCCAGCTGAGTTTGGAAGGTAACTTGTGTGGGGTACGAGGCAGTCGACCAAAGCGTTTCCTCATTTGAAACCCCCAGGAACACCCCTCACCGACGACGATGTGCGCATGCTGCGGGAGTTCCTGCTGGTCAGCAAGACCCTGCGTAGGCTCAACGTGTCCAGGTGCAGCTTGACTCAGTTCAACTTCGCTATGATCGCTGACGGAGTGTATAAGTCGCCTGGATTGCGACGCTTGAGTGCCAACAGGCTGCTGGGGATGAGCCTCAGCCTGGACACGGAGAAAATTTGCTCCGTGCTGAGCTCGCTACTGATGCACAATACTCTCTGGTCCCTTTCGCTGGAGCACTGCGAACTGACCGCCCAGGACATGATCCCCATTGCTGAGCACCTGGCCCGGACCAACTCAAAATTTCGGCGCCTGCGAATCGCCAGCAACAAGATCGGTCCGGATGGAGCCTTCTTCCTGCTGCGTGGAATGTCCATGGGAGGAAATCTGGAATTGCTGGACTTGAGCCACTGCTCGATTGGCACACATGGCGGCGAGTGGGTGGCCAAGTACCTGACCTCGTGCCGCAGGCTGCAGATCCTGTACTTGAACTACAACGACATGGGGCCGGAGGCCGTGAATCTCATCCTTTTGGCCATGAAGAAGCAGTGCAAGCTGGAGCGCCTGAACTTGTATGGCAACCACTTCGACTCGCGTACCGCGATGATAGTGCGTCGCTTGCTGGATGCCGACGTTGTGCTACACTCCGAGCTGGACATCAGTTACACCTACGACGAGGATCTCCAGGATTACAGGGTGGTGCCTTGGAGGTAAAAGTGAATAGGATGTTGTTAGTTCTGTTCAGTTCGTAAGTAAATTAAAGTCTACGCCGCCAAAATCAGTTGTGGTAGTACTTTTCGTTGATGTCGGTTGCAGGCGTGTTATGCTCCTTCTGCGATTTCAGAAATCTAGGCAAATATAGCTCCTCATCTTTCAAATGTGACGTATAGAGAGGATTTTATATTAATAAATAAATAATAATATAAACAATCTCGTAGTATTATCGGAGATTTTCGAGCATCACAGACTTTTCGTCACTTGGAGACTTAAATCGCAGACTTCGGCTTTGAATTCGTACTTTATTGTAATTGTTAATAGTTGAGAAGAAAATTGATAGGTAACTATTTACAAAAGCTTTGTTCATATATTAGTATGATATTTTGGAACTATTTTATTTTTTTAATAAAATTTCCCGATATATGCACATATAAATGGATGTTTTGGCCCACTGTGCGGCGTAAGCTTTGCAACCACGTGCCCACTTTCTCTCTCTCCGGTTTTCTCTCGCTTTCCCGATGAATGAAGAGGCGGTGCTGCCAGACTACAGTCGAGTGGGAGGGAAAGCTTGGCTTGGGAGCGAGCTTTTGGGACCAAACAGCTGACCCGACGGAGTGGCAACTTTCGCTTTCGTTTCCGGCTTCTGTTTTGTTATTGTGAGAGCGCCACTCGCGTGCGTGTGTGGGTGCAGTTGTGAATGTGTGGCGATTTCAAAGTCACAGAGCAACAACAACGACAGCATAATGAGCGAAAGAGAAAACGACGGCGACGCGCGGAGAGAGAGGGCGGAGAGGGAGCAGAACTTCGGCAGCGGCGCGACGGCCACAGGACAACGCTTACAGTATCCTTGTTGAGAGTTTCGCAATATATTTTCATTGCTGCAGTCTCATCGAAAGCGTCGAAGCAACCGAATCGCATCGAACACCCGATAAATCGGTTAGACAATGCAAAACTCCATTGAGAAATGCACAGCACAAAAACATAAAAAATAAATCAAAAACACAAGAACAGCGAGTTCTTAGCCAACATTTCAAAATAGATAACCAGTAACCTGGTGTTTTTCGTTTATTTGCTGTTCAGTGGCAGTGAGATAAAATAATGTGCTCCAGTTCTTGTATAACTCTTCATAATTAACAAGGAAACTAAAACTGTTTTGTGCCTGCGGACAACTTGTGTTTTCCCGCTGGCTCTATCTTATTTCAGCTGAAAATTTTCTTATCTGCTTGCAGGCGGCTGCTAGTACATATTTATCCAGCTACTGCAGATGGCCAGCCAACTACCCACCTAAACTAAACCGAAACCAGAGCTAAAACTAAACTGAAATCAAAACTAAAACCAAAACTTAACGCAACTAAGTAAACAAGCTGAACTAAAAAAGAAGCCACTGGCTGTTACAACTTTCCCTATTAGCAAAGTTGGACCAAATAGGCAAAAGAACCCCGACCAAGCAACATGAACATGAACGACAGTCGACGCAACACCGCCACGGAATTCAGCTATATCCTGCAGCGCCAGGTGAGTTGTACCCCAATTACATGCACTTAGTTTGAGTCTCAGAAGCGCCTGTTTCTCGAGTCCTCGCCCCGAAGCACTGAGAGCACCCACAACTCGAGCACTTCCTTGCAGCACCCTAATTGCACACTTCCCAGCCGCAGGAACTCCGACTAATTGCAGCCACACGAACTGACTGATTGCCCAGCTACCCACTGAGTGCATAATGACCGGGATTGTGGCAAAAGTCGGGGTTCTCAGCGGGTCCCAGTACTTCCATTCTGAAGAAACCACTGTCACCAGGCTTCTTATAGTCTAAAAAATTACAAAAATCCATTGAAACTCAAAATTCTTAATTAAATCGATTGGTTAAATTTGTAAAATATTGGCTTGCATCGATATTTGCATAACATAGATCCTACATCTCCTCTTCATATTTTAGTAAATGTAAAAGCCAAGAAAACCTTGTATGTACACCTAGCACAATTTAGATTTTCTGTTATCCCCTTTAGATAGTTTGGAACATTATCCAGAATTTGTCATTCCTTGTATTAGCGAATTTAAAGTCTAAACATCTTAAAACACCCGAAAAGTATTGAACTTCATCCCTTGTCAAATGTTTTATATTGTGACATTTTTGAAATATTGCACAATTATACACATATGTTTTGTGCTACCATTTGAAAATTGTTGTGCACGTAATCAATAGAGATTGAGTTTGCTTTGTGAGGCAAATTAAGTTTTCCAAGTCGACAGCCACAACAGATTTGGCGACACATGAACATGCGTCCGATTCCTTGTCTGCCCAATGAATTGTTAATAAACAAAATGCCTCGTCGATCAATCATGGCTTAATTATTGCCCCGCCTACATTTGCATACGAATCTGGCCAAGCGGATTTCAGTGAGATTTTGGGATATGGCGACGGGTAATGCCCGATAAGCCCTTAAGCTCGTTATGAATTCCATTCCGAAAACTGCTGGAATTGGCTTGCGTGTCTGTCCGTGTGCACATACGCAGTAACACACACTTGAAATCGTGGCCCGCAACTCGTAGCTATCACTGCGAGCAGGACTGTTAAATCAATTTGTTTTCAGCACCCTTGGAACCGCATCCCACCAGCCCACCAGCCCAACATCCCACCTCCCACCGAGACTTAGACAATGACACACGGGAACGACCGAAGCGTGTCCTGATTGAGTGATTATCCAAAACACAATTCACAACATGCTACGACTGATGACAAGCAACCCGAGGATTCGACTATTTATTGTCTCCCCGCTGACCTTTGACGGGCGTGAAAGTTTGTCCGAGAACCCCCAAGCTTAATTAGACGCCCCAAAGAGGTGGTCGCCCAAATGCTCGCGATAACGAAATCAATAAACGGCGAGAAAGTGCTTTAATTACTAGGCACCTACACATGGCGATAAGGATAAGCGGGCGATGGATTTATGCTCCTGCACCAGCCACCGCCGTACACGCATCCACTTAATCGGCGCTTAGTATGCAAGGCATGTGGTGGCAACGTCGCGCATCTCGTACAAGTATCTGGCCTTGGACCGGCTCCGCCTCCACGTCCGCCTCCTCCTGCTCCCGATCCTTGAGCCAGTCCCTCCGCGGCAGCTGGGCCAGCTGAGGCATCAAATAAGAATGTCACCCCCTCGTGAGATAACAGAAATCAATGTCAGCTGCAGCTGGCAGTGCACTTGGCCCCGGGGAGCCCAGTTCTCCGACACCCTGGGCCGACAATTAAGTCTGCATTGGAATTGCGAATTGGCCCGGAAGCTTTTCGCTCGAGCGCCTAACTCAATCCCACCCTCAATTGACCCAATTAAATCAAACATTGTTCGGGGTGATGAGAAGCAGTGGTCTGGCAAACCAAAATTAGATACTGCTAGTCCTTTACAGGGTATCCGGAGCGTGATGGAAAGACAGTGGGCTGGGCCCACGTGGCGTATTGGTAACGTTCACGTTATGCAAAAACTGTTGCATACTCCAGTGCTTCTCGGCCGTTGTGGCTCGCAGGCAATCAAGGTGAATCGCCAAATCCCCTTCGAGACGCGCTAAGTCCATCTCCTGGGCCTCCAGTGGGTAAGTGGGTGAGTGGGTGTGCGGTGTGCGATGGATGTGTTTTAAACGGATTCGATTTCGACGCCTTGCGGACCCACAACTCCCGCTGCTTTGGCGGAACAATAAAAGCAAACACTGTGCGCGTCCGTATCTCGGAAATTGACGGGCAAAGCGATAAAAAGACGAGGAAAACTCAGAAAAGCACTGAGCTCGGGCTCGCAATTTCCCCAGCGATATATGAAAACACGTGTTCCAGAACGATATGTGCGCTCTCCTATAGAAGTATATATGCACATATAGTATATCCATATACAGATATTCGGCATGCGAATAAATTGGAATTTTTTGCGGCATGATACGTGCATGCTTGTGTGTATTTTGCGTTTATGTTTTAAGCGAATCATTCAGCGCGCACTCGATTGTCGTTGAAGTGAACGCGATTTAATGGCTAACAATTTGATTTTCATGCGATCCACCAGGGCAGCGATGTGTCGGTTGCCGAGGCTTATGCATTCGATGACTTCAACAATATAATGAAGGTAAACTCTGACCCACATTCTCCACTGCACTTGCATTGCGAATCGTAGTCGTGTTCACACTCAAGTCCCCTTCACATTCATTAAATTCCGAGCCGAGTAACGCCTACACTCGCGCTGCGGGAAAGAGACGGCTAGTGGGAAAAGAGAGGGACGGGAATAGAGTGGCAGAGTGGATGAGTGGGTGGGACACATCTGGCATTCCGGCCGCGACCTTCTACGGGGTCTTTCGGGCGGTACAAATTGCTTTTGGTCCCTGGACATCAAAAGAATTTTCTTATTAAGAAATACTTCCTTGCCTACTTCGCGAGCGCCTTATTAAATATTGCATCGGACCAAGTCGTGTACGAGTTGATAATGAAGACAAATTACAATTGAAATGTGTGCTTTTATTGCATACTTTTGGACGGACTCGCTGGAGGGAAATATATTATAAAATTTAATGAAAATTAAATGTGCGCCGCCTGATAATGAGCGCTGTTAAATAGAAGTTAAAAGCGAGAAATATGGCAACTATTCCTTCGCACCACTCCTTCCACTTGAGATGGAGCAAAATATAATGTTTTTATTTAACTACTAGTAACTATTAGTACAAGCTTAAGAACAAAGCGGCTTACATTATGTAAGTGCTTATATATTTTATTTTTTAATTTCACTACAAGAAGGTTTACAAGATAACCATTTAATTTAATATTCCCAAATCTGTCAAAGTTCCTACACTCTCAAGGATAAAGTGGTCACTTTGAGCCGTAAGTCACGTTGAGCAGCCTACCTGGGCTTAGGAGGAATAAACCCATCCATCTGGCTTACCTCTTATTAAGGACCAGCAAAAAGTGTACTAAGAGTATTGCAAGCTAGCGTGGCTTTGGGTTGAGTCTAATCCCGGCAACTAATACCAGGGAATGTCTGTCGAAAAGAGCAGGAAAGGATTTCCCGTACATATCCTCGAACATACACAGTAGTGATTTTCCGAGGCAGGGAGCGCAGAAGGAAATGAGGGCGGCGACGTTGGCCAAGAACCTGAAGGGAACATTGTGTAATATTTGATGCATTACCATGCATAAGTAAGGAATGCCAGGCGGCGAGTGGGTTGGGCCTTTGTTGTTTTCTTAGGCCTCGCACCAAACAAAACTTCGGCTTTGTTGTTGGCAAAGCCATTAGGCCAAGTCAAGGCTGGCCAAAAAATTTCAGCATTAACGAGTGGGAGAGGGTGCGAGTAAAAATAAAGCAGCCAAAGAGCCCTGATTGTTTGCCCAACTAATGGTCGCGCCAGCTCAAAGCCAAATTGCCAATAGTTGGGACACTCTGCTGGCTGACTAACTGACTGGCTGGCTGGCTGACTAACTGACTGGCTGGCTGTTTCTCAATTAGGCTAGTTCCAGCCGAAAGTGGAACGGCTCTTGGCCAACGACGAAGGCCTCTCATTACATAGATTGAAAGGGAACTGCAATAATTAAATTAAACTATCAAAGTGCAGATCTGAAAGTGGACAACCAGAAGCGCTCTGTAAAACATTTCATACATTTGTTGAAAAGGGTGGACATTTGCTGGGTAGCTCACTTATAATTTGCTTGTACCACAAAAGTAATTATTAAAGATTTAATTGAGTATTACTTATACTAGCAGTTATTCATTTAAACTTTTATGGGCAAATAGTATCAGAGATTCAATAGTAGTTGGGTAGCTCACTTATAATTTGCTTGTACGACAAAAGTTATTATTAAAGATTTTCATTTTAACTTTTATGGGCAAATAGTATCAGAGATTCAAGGACTTTTGTGTCGGAGGTGCTAGTGCCAGGTGTGGTGAACTAAGAGGTCGATGTGGACCTGGTCAGCCCTTCGTCCATGACCAGGATAAAACCGAGAATGGCGTAGGCCAATTCGAATGAGGGCTGAATTCCGATATACTTTCCCTGTGGAAATGCATGCAGTTATTCGTTGAATGACTTGTAATCATTTAAAAGAAGTTTCTTAATATCTACTGAGTGAATAAGGGATATGTGGTAGGGCAGCAGTTGCTCTGCAAAAACCCTGAACTTCATAAGAGAAATGCAATGCAATCAGTGTCTGGACAATAATTTTGGTCTAAAACTTATTCACATTTTTTTCATAGAATATTTATTAAGATAAAATCATTACATTGCCTTTATGAAAATAGATTTGCCCAAACTGGCGGTTTCTTGGGTTATTTCTCCCTTGCATCCGGTCAAGGGTCAGCCTCTTTTACATTTCCCTAAAACAACACCCCAGCCCATCCCCTCCGGAGTCCATCCCCATCCCGGGCTAAGCCTGACCGGAGGACCATTTGGCTGCCCATGCCAGTGTTTACTTTTTCGCTGTACACGGAGACTGGGGCATCGGGCAAATGGGCAAATGGGCACATGGGCACATGGGCGGATGGGTGGCTATATGCGGTGCAGTAGGCCCTGTTTGTCTATGGCCAGGGGTGGAGGTGCAACCCAGGCAACGGCAAAAACTGGAAGGACAACAATGCCGACGCGACTGTGTCAATAGTTCAGGGGGACTCGAATTGGAATGCAGAAAGGCGGCGGTTCTGCGGCTGGTGGCAAGTGGTATTGTCAACACCGTGCCATTTCATAATTTCAGCTCCCTGGTTAATTGTTTGGCCAAATATGCACCGGTCCTTTCAATCTGGGCCTGAATGTGTGTCTGCTGTTCTCCAAAACGCTTTTATTAAAGTGCAAATGGCTGCTGCCATTGTGTCGGCGTTGTTCTCTAATTTCATTAGGCCAGCCAAATATGTGCCCGGCGTTTTTGCCAAACAACTTGTTCGTGCCCTTTACAATACTTGTACCTTTGGGCCATGTTTGGCTATAAGAAGTATTTGTAACACAGGTAGTTAAACACTTTCTTGTAATGACCTTTGTTTTGATTCATGCAGTACGAAACTTAATTTATTTAATGAATGTGATATTTTTTGGCATGGGCCAACGTATTTCACTCGTTTACGTTAAGATCGCAATTTCAATTAATTTGAATAAAAATTCCCCAATCTCTTTCTTACTTTTCTGGCTTATCTGCACTAAGTTGGCCGCCCCAGCACTGATACCAAACTCTTTGTAACCTAGGTACATTATATTAACATTTCCATTATCTTTCGTTGGACCTTCATAAGCCTTTTCTCCCTTAATGAAAAAAAAAGGGTATTTTAATTCCCTTATTCGGGTGCACGAAAATATAAGTTGGAAGGGAAAGTTCGAGACGCGGCCGAAGGACATGAGTGTTATTAATTAAAATCGTGCAGTGCATAAAATGGGTTGTTTGCCATCAGGACCGGATCCCGGAGTGTTCCAGGATCTGCCTGGTGCCCAGTGGAGATTGCCTTTCGGATGCGGGGTTGCTATTTGTGTTTGAGTTTGTATTTGCCTCCGACAATGTTTGTCTTTTATTAGAAACGCTCTGTTGGACATGTACTTCTGCCAGGTGGATTTCCAGATGGGATGTGTGCACGTGCCCCAAGCAATTTTCGGCTCTTGTTTTTTCCCAATTTTTTCCTTGCTGTTTTCCCGTTTCACACGATTTTTAATCAATTGAGTTTCGGCTGTTTGTTGGTGCCTCATTTGCCTCCATTTTCCTTGTTAAATTATGGGCATTTGCCAGGCTTAATTGCTGACAGGGGAATGCTGCGAAATTATTTATGAGATCACGACGAATCGTAACGTTTTCATGTTGACCACCCAATGCGAGCATACACGTACATATGTGGGTGCGAGTTCGAATTTGACCCAAAAATACGCTCGATTGAGCAGCGGAAACAGATTTATTCATTCATCGATATCATTTATTCAAGCTATTATTTATGACTGCCCGTGCACATCGCTTGGTCCTGTGATGAAAATTAAACGCGCCCAAGGACAAGTGGCCATAACAATTTGATGGCGGCGTAATGTTTCGTATGATAAACTAATCAAGCCAGCTGGCTATAAATTATCCTGTTGAGAGTGCGGAATTTCCACGCCTTCAGCAGTTTTCTCGAGATTAACGTTTGTTCATTTGCCTTCGACGGCGCAATTTGTTTTTCATCTTTTTTTGCCTGTTTTTGTAAGGACGAAGGACTTGTGCCGCTGACAACGGACACTCTGTAATTTCACTGGGCCCTCGTTGCCGTAACCTTGCTCTGCCGATTCGGCCTTGGCACTGAGACTGTTTGTTGGGCTTTGGCCGGGTTTCCTATTGCCCTTCCAGTGGCCGTGCCCCATAATTAGCCACTTTCTTTGACACTCGACGGCTGCTCTGCCCCACCCCAAAATAACAGCAACGCACCTGCGACCTTTGACGCCACCTAATTGAATTGAAAACTCAACTCAGCTCGCGCATAATTTGCCTTTGGAAATGTTCATTAGCCAAACACCTCCAGAAACCATTTTAAAGTAGTTCTGGCAAATGTTTACTCTATACTCACTTCCCTTTTTAGGGGCGTTTGGGGGCAAAGCTGCAGAAGTGTAAACTTTTCCGTTGTTTGTTTGCTGTTGCCCCGAAGTTCAGTTGCGAGAACTTCTTTAATTGCCAGCTGGCTAAACTTTTGCTCCAATTTGGGCTTATCCCTTCGGTTTTTATTATTTTTACTGCTTTATTTTTTAGTTGCCATGCTGTAAATGTGGGCCACAACATTGGCCCGCTTTTCGTGACTTTATGACGTGGCTGAGGAATTTTATTTATGTTTATGTAGGGCCTCTTCATATAAAATTGTCTTTTATGGCAGGCGGCTGGTGCTGGGGATATGGGCAACTTGTATTGCCTACACACGTACATGAACACGTAGAGAAAACAATACATTCTGTTTCAAGTGCACTCTTTATAGGGTGAAAGGGTATTCTATATTCGTTGCAAAGTTGTAGCAGTTGGAAGCAAGCGTTTCCGACTCTATAAACCATATACATATGTATATATTTTTGTCAGAACCTCTATCCAATATCTGGTTATGTCTGCTTGTCCGTTTGGCTGTCCGTCCGCTGTCCGTAAAGATGTAAAGCTGGATTTCCGCTTCATATACGTGAAAAAATTGCTTATTACAAAAAATAGGTAGTTAACGTTTTTTAAGGGACCCTGTAGTAGTAGAAAGTAGTAGAAAACCAAAAGTGTGCTGTATTTCAACCCAATAAGAGGTGAGTACTTCTGAGCGTGGGATAAAATGGCATTTCATGTGGTACTCTCTGTTTTCCCAGTGCACACATAGTAGCTGGGGGAGAATCGTTTTGACAGAACCGCAATTTGCGATACGGATACGAGCTGCCTTTGTCTTTGCCTCTACCTGAGTATTGCGTATACGCACCATTGGCTGCCAGGAGCTGGGTAGTTTGGGGGGTAGTGGAAGGCGGGTCCTGTTGGTTTTGCTTTTGATGTAAAGAGGCACTCGAGGCAATTTTGCTCTCTTATCCCAATCAACGAGCAGTAATGAAGAGCAGGAGGGAGACCGATAGCTAACCTTTGTTGTGTGTTACACCGTCCTAGAACAACCATCAGACACATCAGCAACAGGGCCAGCCGCAACAGCCACATCAGCAGCAGCCGCAGCCGCAGCAGCAGCTGCAGCAGCATCGCCAGCCTTCGCAGCAGCAGCAGCAAGCACAGCAGGATGCCGGACTGGGGGACACGCTGTCCTCGCTGCCACAGGCCTCGTTCAACTACATCAACTCCATCGTGGGCAGCGGCGTCATCGGCATACCCTACGCCCTGCACAGGGCCGGATTTGGACTGGGCCTGGCCCTGCTCATCCTGGTGGCCTACATCACCGACTACTCACTCATCCTGATGGTGAGTGGCAGGCCCTAACCCGATCCCGATGCCTTTCCCAATTCGGTTTCAAAGTTCCAATCAGACAATCTGACCATCTGGCCATCGGCCGGGTGGAGCCACCAAAGTCACTTGCCAAACGCATTTCCGCTCGACTCCGGGCTTAGCATTTGCTGCATAATTAACGAGCCCACTCATTTGCGAGGGCGTGTGCTGCCGTTTAAGCCTCATTTCATTTGCAGGTCAGATGCGGCCACATCTGCGGCCGGTTCAGCTATCCGGGCATCATGGAGGCGGCCTACGGCAAGTACGGATACTACCTGCTCTCCCTCCTGCAGTTCATGTATCCCTTCCTGGGTAAGTGGGGAAGTTATTGCATACTCTGCACATTTCGCTTTTATTTTATTTCTTCAATGCGGTTTTTCTTTGTTCTTTTCCACTTCAGCACTACTTTACATTGCCACTTTGATATTTTTTTGCTGGGTAATCATTTACAAGTTCAATATATTTATTAATTTACTTACTAATATGACTACTGCTATGGTTTCCGATTGTTATAATTAAACTTGTTTAATTTTTGGGTGTCATTTTCAATTGGAAATGTAAATCCAAATTCCCTTATGGTACTGCGCAATTTTATATCCTAAATATATTTCCCTTGATGCCTTTCATCTTTTGTTATCTCTATTAATCAATGTTGATTCGGACTCCCATCAATATACATAACACTTTTATGAAGCAATATAAACTTTATGGGCAATGTTTGTGATATAAACCAAACCCTCTTGCAGCCATGATTTCCTACAACGTGGTGGTGGGCGACACGCTGTCGAAGGTACTGGTTCGCTTCTTCCCCTCCTGGGGCGGATCCATGGGCGCCGTGCGACTGGGCGTGGTCTTCTTCGTCAACGTGGGCGTGGTGATGCCCCTCTGTCTCTACAAGAACGTCTCCAGACTGGCCAGAGCCAGCTTCATTAGCCTGGCGTGCGTGGTCTTCATCCTGTTTGCCGTCATCATCAAGCTCATGTCGGGCGATTATAAAGTGTAAGTATGCCAGCTCGATGCCTCGGATGACTCGGATTTCCTTTTAAATTGATTACGTTTTGTATGGTTATATCCATAAAGTTCTTCATTGTCTGCCTTTTCCATTTTACTGAAAGTTACATACTTAAATCCAATTGTTTTGCTATGAGTGTGAAACTAATTACATACCTAACATTTTCACTGAATTGATGACAGCTATTACAATTAATACCTGATCGCTGACTAATACCATAAATACCTTGTTAGCTGAATTTAGACGGCCAGGAATTTCGCATAATAAATGGGGCTTGCTTATTCAAATTTTTGCTTGTTGATAATAGTTTATTTTATGCATTTGCGTTGAAATGTTTTTGCACCCTTGCACGGGGTATGCTACGTACATATGTGTATATTTGCCACCATATAAAGCACACATATTCTCAATCACTCTCAGAAATGGCCAAAAATAAAGATTTAATTACAAATTAAAGGTGATTTTGTTTTGTAGACCAGAGTCGTATAAAACCATTTAAGCCAACTTCCTCTCTAAATTCCTAGCCGCCAAAGCAATTATAAGCAAGATTGAGTGCTATGGTCGAGTTAACTGACTATCAGATACCCGTTACTCAGCTAGTGGAAGTGCAAGCGAGAAATTTCTACACTTTGTGGAATAGCGGTAGAGATTGGGAAAAAAGTAATAAAATTAAAAAAAATTAAAAATTTTGTAAAAGTGTGGGCGAGAGAGTTTTGTGCGGTTTGTGGGCGCTGTATCTTATATTTATTATTAGTTCCTGAGATCGAGGCGTTCATACGGACAGACGGACGGACAAACGGACAATGCCAGTACGACTCGACTATTGATCCTGATCAAGAATATATACACTTTATATGGTGGGAAAAGCTTCCCTCTGCCCGTTACATACTTTTCAACGAATCTAGTATACCCTTTTAATCTACGAGTAGCGGGTATACAAATACCTAAAGGAATCGCAGAAACAAACAACGCTGGCTAAGCGCGTGAAGATTTATTTACATTTTAATTACAAATAGTGTACTGTTCGCCGATTTTCCCAACCGCAGACAAAGTTGCAGCCAGTTGGAGCTGGGCTGGGAAACAGGGCTCCGGATGGGGTATCCCCATTCCGGGGGTGCTGGTGTTTTGAGTTGCCTTGGCTTGGGGTTGGCGGTGGTGGTGCTGGGCTTTAGTGCTAAGTGCCGCTTTAGCGCTTTCAAATCTGTGGCAACTGCCCTCGGCGGTGGTGCTCCTGCTCCCGCTGGTGGTGCAGATGAATCTGCAGGGTGGCGCAGAGCTCATAAAATTTAGTGTGCCACTTGTTTCCCTTTTATGGCTTTTCATTAGGCGAGTCGAGTCGTGTTCGGCTGAGTCTGTTGCTGTGCAACTAAGTTGCATGCATTCATACATACACGTATGCGCTGGCAACACTTTCCCCCTGCTGTTGCAAGGTCAACGGGGCAGGATTTCCCGCTCTTCAGCTGGGGGAAACCGGGCCTTGAATGCTGCGTCTGCGGCTTGGTATAAAATTTAAATAAATTTCCCATTTGCAGCTGCCTTCACTGACCTTCACTCTCCCTTTCTTATCTTTGGGTGCGCACCTTTTGTTTTACTCATTTTTTATGCGAATAATTCACATTTCCGGGGGTCGTCCGAGCCAACGAAATGTTAATTTGGTGTTAACTTTTGTGTAATGCTTTCCTGAAAAACCTTTTTCCCCTCCTCTGGCCGCGATGATTTGTTTCCAGGACGGACACGGCGGAGTCTTGGCGGTTCGCCAACTCGGATCTAATCCCGGCCACGGGCATCATGGTCTTCGGTGAGCTGGGGGTGGATTTTCCACTTGACTTTCCTCTTGCCTTCCGTATATGTATGCATGTGTAACCATCCATCTATCTTTCCATTGGACATCTGTCCGTGCAGCTTTTATGTGTCATCACAACACCTTCCTCGTTTATCAATCGATGCGCGACGCGACCATGGAGCGCTGGGAGAAGGTCACCCACATTTCGATTGGATTTGCCTGGACGGTGGCGGCCCTGTTCGGCATCGCCGGCTACTCCACCTTCCGCGCCCTTTCCCAAGGTGAGGGATTGACACAAATTGCATTTAATTGCACTGACAGGCAATTTGCGGATGTTTCCTGTCTGCTGTTTTTGGCATTTACTATTTACTGTTTACGGCCGTCCCAATCCCGATGGGATTTGGCTTTCCTCCTTTCCTTCTTGCAGGCGACCTGCTGGAGAACTACTGCTGGGATGACGACCTGATGAACTTCTCGCGTGTTCTCTTCTCTATATCGATACTCCTGACCTTTCCCATCGAGTGCTTCGTGTCCCGCGAGGTGGGCATCCGAAATCCCAGAGCCACACATTAGCAACCCACATTTACTTTCGACTACTCCCCACAGATTGTGCGCGCCCTCGTCCATCGGTTCGTGCTGAAGGAGCCCATCAGCGAGTTCACCCAGGACAAGGACCCCAGCCTGGAGAAGGGAGCCATTATCGATGAGTACTCGAAAGCCATTACCATGGCCATAGTGTTCAGCGCCTTCGTCATCTCACCCATGACCGACTGCCTGGGTTCGGTGCTGGAGCTGAATGTGAGTAGGGTTCCCATGTCTGCAATCCATGTCCGGCTGCCAAATGGGTTGGGTACCCTTGACCAGAAGAGAAGAGTTTGTGTATATAAAAGGAACCTATCCGTTAGAATGAAAAACGTATGACTTTAGGGTTCTTAGTAGTTGTTATTGACCAAACCGCATTTAAAATATGCTCTAAGTACTTATTAAGATATATTCATTTAATTAAATGAATGCAGCCCTCTATACTGTCAATCTTCTTTTTACTTCCTATTAAAGCTACTTGTTTTAAAGATTACCAATTTTTACAAGTTCACTTTATGTCTATATATTCCCCTTTAGGATTTGTGGTATTGCGGTTACACACGCGATTATATACATTTGAGTTCAACCACAATCAGCAAGAGTTTACCCAGAATCTTTAATTTAAAAATTAATCATTTATGTTTCTAATTTCGGAAAAAAACATATTTCTTATCATTTATAATGTGCTCAGGCCATTTATCATCCAGATAACTTCGGCTTTGCAATTTGCAAACATAAAGATTATTTATGACGGCTTTCGTTTTCATTTATTTCTGAGTTGAACCTGTGAATATTTTGCGCAAAGGGGCAGAATTTCACAGCAAGGAATCGACGTATATCAAATGCTTCATTAAATACATCTGAGACTAATTCTGACACAGACATTGGCATTTGCCAGACCAAAGGGAGACCCGTATGGCCAAGTTTATTGTTATCGTCCGCAGCCATTTGTCCCTTGTATTCTGGTCACGGGTATTGGCCACAATGTCAATCCCAAACGGCATATACAAATTCTGGCCTGAACCCGGCTTTGTATTTGCCATGCAAATTTATGCCCCACCCATTAGCCCATCAGCCCATCAGTCCATTTACGAGTCCACCCATTTCAGGGTCTTCTGGCGGCCATACCCCTGGCCTACATCCTGCCCGGCCTGGCCTACATCCAGATGGAGCCGCACGCCCTACTCAGCCGGGAGAAGCTGCCCGCTCTGGGCCTGGTGGTCTTCGGAGCCCTGGTGACCATCCTGGGGGCGGCGGTGCTCCTGCCGGGACTAATGGGCGGCGACTGTCGATCGGACATTGTGATGGGCTACTGCCGGCAGGAGTTCCAGAACACCACCTCCACGAACTAAGTTAACGGAACGGAAGTCAGTTGGGATCGCATTTTTATGGTTTGGGTTTTGGGTTTTGGGTTGGAACTTCTGATTTCACCTTCGGTTAACTCAGCTGCACCACGTCGCATCGAAAGAAACTTGTACCTGAGTCCCAGACGTTCAAAGTATCTGCGTAAGTAAGTTGTAGGCACAGTGTTGAATTGGCTAGTGGATAGTGGATAGCGGATAGTGGATAACGGATGTGTGATACGGGCGAACCTCAGTACAAAGGCCAGGCGTTCTCTCCGATCGAGCAACCCATGTATATTTGCACCGGATAGTCATTTATAGTGTACATTTCGTTGGATCCCCGTTGTTGATGTCGGTATTGTTGAAGTAGTGAAAGTTCCTCGATATATAAGTGTGTACTCTGTACTTTGAAGCCAGCAAGTTGAGTTCGCGATTTGAATTGAATTGAATTGAATCGAAAGAAACGAGCGAGGGCAAACTAAACCAAACTAGAACTAGATGTTATCCGTAGCTTTAGCGTAGTCTGAAACTATTTGGGCACCAATATACACAAGCAATCCTTAGCGGCAACCGACTCCCCAAGTTGAGAAGCGAATCAAAATCGAAATCGAACAAGTATTATATGTACCGACAACTATTTGTAACTATGTATGTATATCTATGGCCCGACGTTACCGAATCGTATTCCCCAGTTTTATATGTATATGTATACAAGGGTAGATAAAAATGCGCTTGAACCGAACTAAAATCAAACTACAAGTATACTCGTATCCATCAACACATCGATTTGAACAACAGTTTTGAGTTGTTAAGGGCACTGAATTCTATTTTGAATTGCATATATACACCGAACACGATCGAATATTTATATATACACATAGATATATTTTTGTACAACTCTTGGTTTATACTGCACGATATTATGTAAATACATGTGTATGCATTTTTGGATGTGATTAAAGTCTTTACACTCACACAAAAGCCATCACCTCTTACTTTCTCTTCGGGCTGAGAGATCGGAACCAAGCTGAAGACCCCACAACTCTGTATTCTAAGAGCTTAAACACTACATATCATGGCCAAGGAACACGGGACATGCCCAGGGCTTTTCTGAGATACTTTTTACAAGATCTAACCAACTAACCAACTGAACCTATCGCTTTTACACAACGAATACGAGAACGGAAACGGAACGGAACGGAAACGGAAACAGCAGAAAACAATTTCCACAGACTTCCTGTATATACACGCTATATAGATCCGCTTGCGTACGATATTGCTCATCTTTTCACTCGCCAAATATCTCGTTGTATCTCTCTTTTTAGCGCTATGCTATATAAATATATGTATATCAAAGCATTAGTAAAGAATTAGGGAAGTGTTGATCGATTGATTATAGCCGAATTGTAATAATTATAATTGCTGTATTATGCATGTAGCCACATATATAAACATATATTAAATTGTTTAGATGGTATGTGGCCGGAAGTTTTGATTTACAGCGCAGGCCTACCCCAGAAATAACCAAATCCGATTTCATTCCAATAGTATATATGTATAGATAAGCTAAAGTAAAACCAAATGAAATATTCTGAAATAATAAAACTGCATTTTAGAAATATGCTAAAACAACACTGCGGTTTCCATACCCCGTCCTTATCGCTGCACGTCGAGTATTTTATTTCCCAGGCGTTCCTGCGGTTTCTAAAACTGATACTAGGAGGAGTACCTCCGAAGTTTTGTATAAATAGCGCAGCTCTCTCGGTGAATAGTCACAGTAGTGAAGCGCCCAGACTTCCAGTGACATTTCCCACTTGGTTACCGCCCAGACCCAGCAGATCCTGACGTTCCATTGAAAATGGCCGACAAGAATAACCTCTTACTGCTCTTCGACCATCCCACCGAGCCCGTGTTCATGGACAAGGGCAAGAAGGTGACCGTGTTCGATGTGCCCGACTCCTTCCTGACCGACCGCTACCGTCCCATTAGCAACGAGGTGCAGAGCCGCGTCGGCGACAAGGTGGAGCAGCGAGTTCCAGTGCGGGAGATCTCCATTCCCGATCTGCGGATCCCCATGTCCCTGGGCCGGGACGAGCAGTTCTCGCTGTTCCTGCCCAAGCACCGCAGGATCGCCGGCCGTCTGATCGACATATTCATGAACATGCGCTCCGTGGACGATCTGCAGAGTGTGGCGGTATATGCCAGGGATCGGGTCAACCCGGTGCTCTTCAACTACGCCTTGTCGGTGGCGCTGCTCCATCGCCCGGACACCCAGGGCCTGGATCTGCCCTCCTTCTCGCAGACTTTCCCTGACCGCTTCATCGACTCGCAGGTGATCCGAAAGATGCGGGAGGAGTCGTTCGTAGTACAGCCCGGTTCCCGTATGCCCATCACCATTCCCAGGGACTACACCGCCTCCGATCTCGACCCCGAGCACCGGCTGTGGTACTTCCGCGAGGATCTGGGCGTCAACCTCCACCATTGGCATTGGCATCTGGTCTACCCCTTCGAGGCCGCCGACCGCAGCATCGTGGCCAAGGATCGGCGCGGCGAGCTCTTCTACTACATGCACCAGCAGGTGATCGCCCGCTACAATGCCGAGCGGTTCAGCAACAACCTGGCCAGGGTTCTGCCCTTCAACAACCTGCGGGATCCCATTGCGGAAGGGTACTTCCCCAAGATGGACTCTCTGGTGGCCAGTCGCGCCTGGCCTCCGCGCTTCGAGAGCACCAGGCTGAGCGATCTCAACCGGGAGGCCGACCAGCTGAATGTGGAGATTGGAGATCTGGAGCGCTGGCGGGATCGCATCTACGAGGCCATCCACCAAGGATTTGTCATGGATGTGAGTTATTGGTGGGTTTTCCCTTAACCAAAAGTCTAAGATTCCATTTTCCGTTTTAGGAGCGTGGCAACCGTGTGCCATTGGATGAGGCCACGGGCATTGATACCCTCGGCAACATGGTTGAGTCCTCCATTCTGTCCCCCAACCGAGTGCTGGTATTTAACGCAACTTGAAAGTGTATTATTGAGACTAACCACAGCCCATTGCTTCTCTAGTATGGTGACCTGCACAACAATGGACACACCTTCATCTCGTACGCCCACGATCCCACCAGCAAGCACCTGGAGTCCTTTGGCGTGATGGGTGATGTGTCCACCGCCATGCGTGACCCTGTTTTCTACAAGTGGCACTCGTACATCGACCGCATCTTCCAGGAGCACAAGATACGCCTGCCTGCCTATACCGAGAACCAGCTTAACTACTCGGGCGTCTCGATCGAGGGCATCCAGGTGGACACCAATGGAGGGCGTCCCAATAACCTGACCACCTTCTGGCAGCAGTCAGACGTGGACATGTCCCGCGGCTTCGACTTCCTGCCGCGAGGCAATGTCTTCGCCCGGTTCACCCATCTCCAGCACTTGCCCTTCACCTACACCATCAGCGTGAACAACAGCAGTGGTGCCCAGCGTTTTGGCTACGTGCGCATTTTCATCGCCCCGAAGAACGACGAGCGTGGCCAGCCCATGCTGATGAGAGAACAGCGCTCCATGATGATCGAGCTGGACAAGTTCGTGACTGCCCTGAACCCGGGACCCAACACCATCCGCCGCCGCTCCACGGAGTCCAGCGTGACCATTCCGTTCGAGCGCACCTTCCGCAACCTGGATGCCAATCGTCCGGCTGCCGGCACTCCGGAGGAGCTGGAGTTCAACTTCTGCGGCTGTGGCTGGCCCAACCACATGCTGGTGCCAAAGGGTCTGCCCGAGGGATTGCCCTGCGTGCTGTTCATCATGGTGTCCAACTACGAGAACGATAGGGTATGCTAACTGCCTCGTAGGGAAGCCAAGCACATCTTTGACCATTATCTCTTCCTCCAGGTTGACCAGCAATTGGTGGGTCGCTGCAGCGATGCCGCTTCCTACTGCGGCGTCCGTGATCGCCTTTACCCGGATCGCCAGTCCATGGGATTCCCCTTCGACAGGTTGCCCCGCACCGGAGTCGACCGCCTGGTGAACTTCCTCACGCCCAACATGAGCATCGTGGACGTGAACATCCGCCACGAGAACCGCACCGTGCAGCGCCAAAACTAGACGATCCGCTCCTGATCCGCTTTCCCGACTCGCCCTGACCCGATTCCATGGCCTCGCCCACTTCTAGATACACAACTCTTGGCAATCTATTGCATCTTTATTGAGCCACCTAATAAACCGACATCATGGCATTCCACAATCCCACTTTTGTTCTCAATTACTGTGGCTCGGCCTCCGAACGAGAATCTCTCGCTGATTAAGCTTATCAGCCGCCAGGGAGAAGCTTTAAATGCCGGCTTCACGGCCGGAGCACCTCAGTCCGAGCAGATCCGGTGTTGAGTGTGAATACGAAACCGATTCTGGAGGAGATGGGCCTGCTGATACTGGTGCTGATAGTGGGCATTGGCGTAAGCACTGTACCGATTAAATAATCTGAGGTTTCGCAAAGATCCCACAAAAATATGAGGTTTTGATACCATTCACCAAAATCATATTTTGCGTGTTTCAAATAAGTCTTACTTGAATTAATATATAATCAGTGGATACTTTTAACATCGATTGTGGTTCTAGTACGAGACTAAGGAGACTTAGGTTCATATAATTGCTAAATTATAAAAAATATAAATTAATTAAAATATAATTGCTTGCTATATGTTTTAGTACGCAACTGCAGCAGCCAACATTGACCTGGAGGCAAAGACGTTTGTGAATCAATCGAGCGATCGCTACTACAGGTTCTACAATGAGATTGCCGCCGAAACGTATTCGGCTAACAACGAGGAGGACTTCGACGCCCTGTTCTCCAAGCTGAACAATGTGAAGCGCATAGCCGAGGAGCTGGTGAGCATCTCCCGGCAGGCTGCGACCTTCGATCTGGACAAGATTCGCAGCCCGCAGACGAAGGTGGCTCTCCAGGAGCTGCGCAGTGCGGGTGACTTGTTCGTCCTGGGGGACGACTACTTCTCCTCCGTGCAGATGAACTTGGCCGCCCTGCAAACGCTCTCCACGGACAAGGACATCGAGCCGTATCTGGGCGGGGCCAATATGCCCAACGAGGACGACAGTCCGCTGGCCTATTTCCCGGACATCCAGAAGATCGTGCAAAGCAGCAGGGATGCCGATGAGCTGAAGTACTACTGGGAGGCGTGGCGAGATAAGAACCAGCTGTGGGCCTCAGTCAACTTCTACACCATAGTGCAGTCTTACCAGAGGGCCGCCCAGATCCTGGAGGTGCCGGTGCACAAGCTCTGGTACCGATATGACAGCCAGGAGATGCTGCAGCAGATGGAGCAGGCGATGACGGAGCTGCGCCCCGCATACCAGCAGCTCCACGCCTTTGTCCGCCAGGAGCTGCACAAGAAGTACGGCTCGGATGTGGTCAATCTCAATGGCCCCATACCGGACCATTTGTTCCAACAGGTCCTCGAACAGGCCTGGGCCAGTGGCAGCATCCTGGAGAACTACTACCCGCGTGCCCAGTTGCCGGAGTTCGATGAGTTCGTCAGTCATTTGACCGCTAAAGCCATGGTGAACGAGTCTGAGAGCTTCTATACCTCGCTGGGCTTCGAGCCGCTGTCCGCGGAGTTCCACAAGAACCAGCTGAAGGAACCGAACCAGGACAGCCCCAACGACGACTGCCGCCCCTCCATCTTCGACCTCACGCCACACGTCTACCTCATGTATTGCGAGAAGGTCAGTTTCCGGAAGCTGATGCAGTACCACAGCCATATGGCCAGGGTGTACTACGCCCAGCAGAAGAGCCACTTGCCCTCCTACTACTTTAAGGCCTACAACCTGGAGTTCGCCGTCGGCGAGGCGGTGGTCCTGTCCGCATCCTCTCCGGCTCACCTGACAGGTCGCCGACTGGCCAAGGAAGTGCTCAGCGAAACGGCCCTCATGAGCCGACTTTTCCGCATGGTGAGTTCGCTACTGGTTGGTCAACTTGGAATATGCCATATCTGATTTATAGGGAAATTTAGAACAATACAATTTGTACGAGAACAACTTAAATTTAGTTATGTATGTCCAAACCAGGCCATCCACACGATCCTTAGTATTCCATTGTACTACGTGCACACCAAGGTGATGCACGATCTTCTCAACGATACTGTGGACATGGACACCGTGAACAAGCACTATTGGAGGCTCATGGAGCAGCATGCGGGAATCGAGGCGCCCTCGGATCGCTCTGAAGGTGCTATTGATTTCCCCTACAAGTTCTACGTGAACATCGACCAGAGTTTCCAGACTCAGTGAGTTCAACTGAGTAGTTCTTCAAATTATAATATAACAAGTAATTTATTTAGGAAATTCATATCGGAAGTTCTGGGCTATCAGTTCTATCGCGAGTTCTGCAAGAAGAGTTTTAGCAGCGGGCCGCTGCACAACTGCGACTTCTTTGGAAGCTTGGTAGTTGGCAATGATTTAAAGTGAGACATAAGATAAGATATATTCGATAAACTAATACAATTTTTTTTCCTAGATCAATGATGTCATTGGGCTCTTCAAAACCGTGGAAACAGGTGGTTGGCAAAATTTTGCCCAATAACACTGGACTTAGTAGCTTGGCGCTGCTGGAGTACTATCAACCTGTGTTGGACTGGCTCGGTAAATACAATAAGAATGCCAATTCGAAAATTGGATGGACCGCCAGCAAAAGAAGTAAGGTTTATTCCAAAAAAATGTGGATACATTACAATAATTTTTATACTTTTACAGAAATTGTTTGAGGCCTTCTGTTGGAAGCGTTCTATTAGTTTGCGCACAAATATTAATAAAATACATTTCGCTGTCTTGCGAAAACTTTAATACTCCAAATTGTTTTCTTATATTTTAAATTTGAATTCGAACTTAAGCCGCCTCGGAAAAATATCTTTTTCAACACTGCCGCTAATCGGTTTTAACGGGTTTCTCTGACTACTTATCTCACTCGCACTTGTGCTCTGGGGATTGAACTGAAGTCCGCGTGTGTTAGAGTGAGATGCCAGTAGCTGTTGCTTGGGCGCGTAAAAAGCTGAATTTCAATTTTAAATAAAGCTCAGTGCACATTAAAATACCTTCATAAGAATAAATAACACCGCAGTTTTGGTTTGATTTCTGAAAAACTCTAATATGTTGCGCAGTGAATCATATTTTTAAGAGCGAGTACTTTTAATTGTTTTTTCACTCTGTTCTTTATTCCCAGCAAATTGAGAATTTAGCAACTAGTTACCAGTCAGCCGGAAAATGAGCTGCGGACGTGGGCAGCTTTGACTTATTCTTTCGATTTCCATCGCAGTTGACCGCATTTGGCAACTTTGGCGACCTCCAAGAGTCCAAGAGCTCTCGAATGTTTCTTTGGCTGCCTTAAAGTGTCGCAATAGATGCCGAAAGCCTGTCCTCCGGCTTAAAGTCCATCCAAGCGCACCGTTCCCCGCTTGATTGCTTCCACTGGCCACTGGCCACATCCACATCCGACCGATCCACTCTTGCAGTGGTTGTCACCGTACAAGATGACCATCTGCGCTTTGCCCACGCCACAGACACTCTTTCCCTGCACTCTGTTGGGAGTATCAGTCATGGTGGTCATCAGCATTGTAATATATATACACATGGTTCATATTTCACTAATATCAAATACCTATCTTATTTTGCAACGAAATATTAAAAATATCTATTCGAAGTTGTTTTCAGCATATTGACCAGTGCACACGGCTGAAAATCTTGAAATAAATCCACATTATTTCGCTAACAAGTGAACAATACATTCGGCCTGGAGTTCCCTCGCCGGACTTGACGACTTGCAACTGGCACGCTTCACTTGCTCTGCGACTGGCGAAAGGTCAGCGGTTCTGCCTGCGTCCACGCGGTGGTCATTAGCCAAGCCAAAGTCCAAGCCCACCGGATTTTAGAGCAGTTGCGGGCGGCAAGGTCGGCGGATTGTCCACCCACCTTTTTGGCCATCTGCCCGGCGGGCGTTACCCATTTAGCTGGACGAATGCTTTTCTCCGACTGGATTTCCTTTTCGCTTTCGAGCGGGGGCGTCTGCGGCAAATGGGCGAATGCATTGCGTGCCGCCTGCTTTTTTTTGTCAGCTGGCGAGGCAGGCGATCTGCAAGTCTGCCTGCTGCTAATTGCGCCAAATTGCGGTGGCGACTCCGCGCACTCGGCGCGGAATGAATGGCCGTGAAATTGAATCATTTCCAGCTGCAGCAGAAGCACACAGCTCCGCACAATCGACTCGAATGCAACTTTGACATGGCACGCCGCCCAACCGTCCCGAAACCAAGTGAGTGAAAGGCACCCACGCCGACATCCAGGTATTTCCCTGGTCTTTATGCAAGCAGTACCGAGTGGTTACAGCTTTTCATGCTCTATACAAAGAAATCCCTTTGAAAATATGTTCATTATTAATAATTTTTGTTCTTTACCATGGTGATGTGTATTGTGAGTACGAGTATTGACACTAAAATGGAATTTGTATAATTAATCTATTGAGAAAGCCGATTTTTACGAAATTTCGCCAGCTAAATTGAATAGTATCGCTGACTCTAGTAAGCTCATTTAACAACAGCATCTTTCCATTTTGAGTTGCAAATCTCGTGCCAAAATGGGCACATCCCCTTGTGGAGAGTATAAAGACTTAAGTGTCCAAATTATGCATAGATATACGGGTATGGGTATGGGTATGGGTATGGGAATGCTGTGTGGCTGGAGAAAAGAGCCGAAACGGAAACCGCAAAGGGAAAACAAGTTAAATGAAATTTGCATGTCTATGTCAGACAATTTGGTGAACTTTTTAAATTGCCCATCAGCAGATGCATTCACATTAACATTAACCCAAAAAGTAAATCCCCATATGTGAGCACTCGTTAACAAGTTCGGAACATGTGTAGGGGTATGCGAGTGTTATATGCGAATTTTGTTTACATATTCATCGGGCACGTTGGAGGCAAATATTTAACAAGCGAACGAGTGAGCAGATATAAACGAAATTCGGCTTAAGCCCGCACAATAGGCCAAATCAGAGGTGAATAGGTTTAGCATATGGTGTGGGAATACGAGAGCAGGGAATAAGACCCCGAAATGGCTTTGTTACGCGAGTCCATTGTCAAGTTCAGATCTGCAAATCGCAAAACAATAGGGCGCTCATAGTGATGTTGCGAGGAGGATCTGTTAGGAAAGACTGGGCGAAATCGTCGTGGTCGATGAGGTGTAAGG